TCTAGTTTAGCTACAATGCTGCGAGCAAAAATATTTGCTTCACCCTGTATATAAATATTCTTAACATTTTATTAATTAAAATACAGTAAATTGCCATTTTTTTCCTATTTTTTCTTTCAACTTCAAAAAAATTACTTTTTATTGTCTCAGTCCGATTATTATTAAAAGATTTATTAACATTAAATGGACCTAACAATAATGGTTTCGTGAAATATTTCAAGGTAGATGCCGTATTATAACAGATTTACAGTAAGTGGCACCTCATTATCTATGTCGCGTGACTGATTTCGTAAAGCAAATAAAAAAACGCTAACAGATAAATACCCAGATTATTAGCAGCTTATTATCACTTTTTAAATGTTAGATACATGTTTTACACAAAGAAAACTGTTCAGAATATCTACACAAGAATCATGCAGGGTGCCTTTTTGAACATTACTTATTGAATAGATTGTAGTTTTATGTTCCGCTGGCGCTGTTAATACTTAACGGATATTAAATACTTACTTAATTTTTGGTAAAAACCTCCAAGAAGCAGATATTTTTTACCTTACATATCAAAATAAAATCACATAAAGCTTAAAACTGGATGAAAGCTTGACAACAAATGTTGGACCTACATCAATGGGCGAGAATAATATTAAGAAAGCATAGTGTAGAGAAAGGGAATCGCGATGTGATTCATTTAATCCATTGAGTATAATTTGTGGGCATCTAATCCGAAGTTAAATCACTTCAGTTTCGTGTTCTATTCGCTACCTCACACACCAATATCGTGCGATAGCGAATTTAGAACAATTTTAATATATAGTCTCCCAAGAATTACTAAGGCCCTTCCTATGGGGCCTCAGTATTGCATTCGTGCAGATGAAAAAAATTTCTTACCCCCCTTTTTTAAAACTTTTTTTCATGTTTCCGAAAATGCAAAAAAAAATTTCGTCTGGTCGTCTGTGTGAATGTATGCCGGCACGATAACTCTAGACCGAAAGTTCTGATTGACTTGCGGTTTTGATTTTCTTGAATATTTACTTCTTAGAACCCTATTGATTTTCAGAATTTTCGGTTGATCCTAACTACTTTAATATCAATTTTCTCAAAATCCGCATATGCATTTCTTATGTGACAATTTTAGGAATTTCAATTATTTCTAACGTCAATATTCCTAAAATTCCATAAATTGTAAACATTCTCTAACGACCTGTCAAACAACAGCTGTTGATAGTAAAGGTGAAATTTCTAAGGCGGGTTGCGACCTTCATACTTGCAACCATAGCCACTTTGGAGACTATTTTTATTCGAAAACAGTAGCTAAGCCTGTCAATTTATGAAAAATATATAAGCAATTTCTTAAAAATTACTTTTTTATGGTGGTGCTAACTTAAGCGTACTACTATTTCGCCCCTAGCCACAAAAACACCTTCATAAAATTTACTGGCTTTCTGTCGCAACTCCACAGAATAATTAACCGGCCATTCTATTTGACAAAAATTAGAATAATGCTTGGCTGTGTCTGTCAAGTATGAAGATGTCAACTGTGATGTGTGAATGGCTCTTAAATGTCAAATTATTTAAAAATGTATACTTCTTTTGATTATTATTGCAATTAATTTGTAGTGTATCTCAATTCAGGCTTTCCATAAATAAAGGTACAGCAAGACAGATAATATAATGTTTTTATACAAAGCACTTTTTTATTATATAAAAGAGAGGTAGGATATAATGCTGGTTTTTTTGTAGAACATTTTTATTATATGATTTTGGATTACATATTCAACCAGCAAATTATAAATAATAATTAGTAAACTTCTAATCATAAATTTCCTTAATAAATAAAATTTAAAAATGTATCTTCTTACCTTGGTACCGAGGTATTTTGTTGTTTTTTATTTTAATTATAAAGTTGTCATTTATTTGTATGTTAAAAGAAGGACTTTGTAAATTACATTGCTCTCTATGGATCTACTTTAACACAAAAATAGTTTTGTTGCTATAAGTTCCTATAACCTATCGTCGCAAAACTATTAATAATTTAAACATAGTAAGTAGTATTAATATAACATCAATTAATTTTTTAAAATAAAGTACATAATCTCAAAACAGAAATAATTTATAATAAATGCGAGTAAAATAACAATAAATTAAGGGAAATACTTAAAAAGGGCAGGTTTAAAGAGTATTATCACAAGAAAGTATATTCTCTTTATTTATCAAGTAATGTTTGAGGTTACTTTTGAATACATTTATTGTTTTTTTTTTTTTTTTTTTTTAATTTCTGTAGGCATTCTATTAAATTTTTTAAACCTTTTTAATAAAAATTGTATTTTGGGAACTTTTAGTGATGGCTTGCCGTACACGAAAGTCAGATTGGCTTCTTGTATTATAGTTGTGATATTGCGAATTATATTGAATTTTTTCTAATAGATCTGATGCGATGGTATTATGTCATTTTTATTTTATAAATAAATATCAGTCATGTATTGAACATAATTCTGAACTAAAAGCCAATTTATTTGTTTTAACATCCTTCTGTCCTTTATTAATATTATATAAATAGGCGAAGTAAGAAGCCCAAATATTTTACATGAGCAGGCTTAAGTGGTAAAGGAGCCAATTATTATTTTATTGGATAAATTACTCAAACAAATGTGTAAACCCTAATCAAAAGGCATATAGAATGGTTTTAAAAATCAAGGCTTATGAAAATCTTCTCATGGTTTAACCTAAGTAATGCCAGTGCTTCACAAACCAAAAAATCCAACGTCTTAATACTACTATCTGCTTTCGTTCCAAGTTAAATCATTTCTCGTTTTTGTTACGCTACGAGTTTACCCTTGTGGGCATCAGTCTCGATAAGGTGGGAACCACCATTTTAGCGTCTCTCGATTACATTTTAGCACACTTTTTCGACATTTCTAATTCATGAGAGGAAGAAGATAATTCAATACCAAAGTAATTAAATTTGTTTCAATGCAATAAATGTATTGTATATTTTTCTTATATCTAAGTGTTTCAGTTTAACTTCTAACAGCAGCATTTATCATAGTTACCAATTCTATTCCAAAGCTTTTAACTAAATATTAGATGGTGTATTCAGTTTCACATTCTTTCCCGGCGAACCGTGAAATAAAAAAAAATAGACTACTTGTCCTACGGGAAATTCTGTCATGCCTGGGTTGGATTTTAGTTCCGCATATAAATAAAATACCCAGGTGACAAGCTGCGTTCCTGTTTGAACCAGATATTTATATTTTTTAGTTTTTAAAATGTATGTCAACATTGATTTAAACAATATTGTTTAATATATCTACCGGGTGACTAGAAATTATTGTTTTTTTATAGGTTGGCAAATTAATTCATATAAGTTTGATCACAATGCACTTACAACGGTATATTCTTGTACAGTTCTGTCCATGTCACACGATATGATGTCACGTAGATTACAAATTGGACGCATCTGCATAGATAAATATAAGTATCGAGACGTTTCCGAAAATAAAAAACTATTGCATTACTTTATTGTTAAAGTTAGGTAATGGTTTTTATGAAGTGAAAATAGAAAAGTTATTGCATAAGCATAAACAGTGCGTGCCTTAAATCGACTTATATACACAGTATTTATAATTATAAAAAAAATTACCGCCACCACTGATCATGCTATATGTTTATTTGTGATGACGTACATGCCATAATCTGTGAAATGGCCTATATATAAATAACCCTAAATGTTTTCACAAAAGTGAGTCAAAAAGTTTACAGGTAAAATTACATCATTTTGAGTATTTGCTCTAAGCTTTAAACCACAATAAATAAGACGTTTATTTTCTGCAAGAAAGTAGGGGCGTGGGGTCCATGGAAGCGGGGGAAGCACCACTTCCCTACACTTTGAAATTTAAAAATAAATATTTTTCAGTTTACAATGCATATAAATTAATATTAAATTAGGTACTATATTTTCTCTGAAACATTACGTACTAACAATTCATTGGTGTAATGTGTAAACGCACGCACCACCCATGAGAAAATTAATTGTGTAAACCATATACTTCGAGTCCGTCGGCGGAAGCGCGTCTTGAAGTAGTCCGTTCATCTTGCAAGTGATTTCGCTTAGTGTTATTGATCCTGCTTTGCCGCGACAGTAGTCAGTCTGTTTGAACACGTGAAATACGGTCGAGAGGCAGCGATTGGTACGTCGCCTTGCGCATATTGCAATTCGCACCGCGAATCGACGTGAGGAAAATCTTAGATTTTAGGTAGATTTTGGTTTGTTTTTCGTAGTTGTTTTTCTTTTTGTAAAATGGAGGAACTATGCACTGTGCCTGTGAACAATAATAATGTGGTAAATTGTGTCTGTATTGTGTGTTTTTTATTGAAAAAACGATTTTCAAGTAGAAATTTTGAAGAGAAAACGGACATTATTAATTCTAATAGACTAAAGGATCCTACCAATTTAGAGACGAAAGTAGAAAAGTCAGCAAATAAATTTACCAGGCATTTTCACGTAGGGTTTTATGAAAAGTATGAATGGTTAACCGGCTGCAAAACTTTAAAGAAATTGTTTTGCTGGCCTTGCCTACTTTTTAATACAGCCGAAAAAACACATTGGAACTCAGTCGGTATTACAGACTTGAATAATTTTCACAAAAGTGTAAAACGACATGTAAATAGCAAATCTCATATAAGTGATACAATTAAAGAAAAAACATTCGGGATTTATCGCATTGGACAATTATTTAAAAATAAGCAACAAAATTCACAATAAAAGGGTAAACAAAAACAGGGACGTCTTACAACGATTAATAAATGTAGCTTGTTTCCTGGGTCCTGGGAGAGCATGAACTAAGTTTTAGGGGTCACAATGAAGCAAGTGGATCCGCCAATCGAGGAAATTACATGGACCTTCCAAGTTTTTTTAGCAAAATAACGATGATACCCTAAAAAATCATTTTATTGATTCAACGACTTTCCGAGGTTCCTCAATTAAATGCACTGCTGACGTTGTGATGGATCACTTTAAAAGTGAAATTAAAAAAGCACCTTTCGTATCAATTGCGCTTCATGAAACCACAGATGTAGCAAACTTAAGTCAATTATCCATTGTTGTGCGATATGTATTGGATGGCATTCCTCAAGAGCGATTCTTAGGATTTTGGGACGTCACTAGCGAACGACCAGCAGATGCATTGTTTAAAATTGTTTGTGACATTATTTTAAGTTTAGAATGTGGTTCTAAGCTTGTTGCCCAGAGCTACGATGGTGCTGCCGAAATAGCTGGCCATTTAGAAGGCCCTTCAAGGTAAAGTGAAAGAGAAGTTTAAACATGCAATTTTCGTTCACTGTATAGCATATAGACAGTTTGATTTTATCGCGAAGCATGGTTAATATTAAAGATAATATTAAAGAACTCGTGCTTTGGACATTCACGTTCAAAGGTTTCCAAAAGTTGCTCCGACGCGATGGTACTACAATTGACGTTTAGTGCAAACAGTGTTTCAATACCGTGATTCTTAGAACTTTTTTCAAGACGTTTGGGATAATAAAGAAACATGGGATGCTGAAACTGTTACTGCTGCTAAAGGGTATTTCGATTGGCTCAAACAAAACTTTAATTTCAATTTTTTGCTCAACATTTTTGCAGAGATTTTCCCTTTTACTGACATTTTATTCGACATTTTACAGACAAAGTCAAATGACATTGGCTTTTGCATTAAACAAATTGATGATTTTAAAAATAAAATAAATAAAAAACGAGATCAGTTTGAACACTTTTGGAATAAGACTCAAAACATTAGCTTAGAACCTGAAAGAAAGAGAATTACAATTGATAATATCGGCGACAGAGAGACCTCCTATCGTCGATTATATGCCGAAATTTTTGATAATATTTTACAACAAATGAACTCTCGATTTCAAAACTTTAACGAATTAAAATTTGTTGAATTGTGCAATTTTAATATTAGTAACTACGATTCACCAAAATTTCCATCGAAAGCTCTTAATTCACTAAAATTAAATTATGGAAATTTGTTCGATATTCCAGCATTAAAGTCCCAGTTAAGTGTTGTTTATGAAACAACTGAAATTAGTTATATAAAGACGCCCATTAATGTGTTAAATTTTCTTATAACAACTGATTTAAATAAGTCCCTTTGTGAAGTCCTCAAGTTGTGTGAATTAGTACTAACCATCCCAGCCAGAAGTGCGTCAGTTGAGCGAAGTTTTTCAGCTTTAAAGCGCATTAAAAGTTTTATACGAAATTTAACAAGAGTAATTTAGCCCTAATATCCATTGAAAAACAGCTTGTTAAACAGTTATCAGAAAATCCAAAATTTTACGATGATGTTATAGACAAATTTGCAGCCATTGAGGATAGGCGAATAGATCTTAAGTATAAATAAATGTCAACTGCTGTGTCACCTGTGCGAAAAATGCTGGAGAAAATAAAAAAAAACTTCAGTTAAATGTTTTTTTACGTTTAAATAAACCAAGGAAGCTTTTCAATGGTAAGTTTTTCAAGCTTCTAGTACTAAACCGGGTAATAAAGTAATAGTAATGCTTCAAAAATCTTAATCTCGAATATCCGTAGTACTGAGTAAAAAGCAAGATTTTGACAAAATGATGGATGCACCGCGAAAAATTTTCGTCTGCGGCGCTGTGCTTATTGACAAGCTGTATTTTTATACTATCGCTTCACTCTCCAAAAATGTTACCGCACGCCACTGCAAGAACGTCATAATAATAATGTATTATAGTAAAAGTATAGTCACAATGCGAAATAAAAAACTATTTTAGATATCATAGAGACGCTTCCATCTAAAAAATTACTCACATATTTTTTTCATTGGTGTCTTCTTCTTCGACAATTTAGACCATTAGCCTCGTGTTCTGTTTAAGATATGGAGTGCTAGTAGTGCAATACTCCATAGTGTAGAAGTGCATAGCATTGTTTTTGTTTTGCTAGTATTTTTACAATTTTCAACACAGCAACTCCGGTTGCTTATTGTATTGTTTTTACCTACTGTTTTTTGAAAAAAAAAAAAGGAAAATGTATACGTGTATTTGATATGCCAAAATTACAAAATATCGCCTTAAAATGCACGAATTGTTAGCAGCTAGCGCTAGAATCGTTTTTGCTTCCTCTACCATGACTTTGCACTGAGTGAATACGGCGATATTTTTTTCAGTCTATCCAATATTATTTATATTATTTACTAACACATTTTGGGTGGTTACATATAATTTTTGGGCAAATACTGTTTTACATATGGACTACTAGTAATCGTTTACATATCGTTTATGGTGTAATCGCTAAGTAATTGCTAACTACGTGTGACAAAATATTTAGGAACATGAAGATTTCACAACCGAAAACTGAAAGGGATCCTAATAAATGAATGAATTATTTCATTAATAATGAATTGTGTCAACGAAGAGGCGCGCAACATAAATATTGTATTGAAACGGTAAGAAATAGAATCCGTCACTCCTTCCCTTTTATTAACACTGGATTGTTAAATATGGCAGAATAAAAGAGTATAGACTGACTTTCAACAAAGAATAAAACCAGTATAAGCGAAATGTTACAACAATGTTTTTATCTTTTTCTGCATTATAAAAATGAAATTTCACAAGCCCATAACCTATTAATAATATAAAAAAGGAAATGTGTCAACCTATCATAGCCGGGTCCGATTAAAAAAATATATATTTGTATTTTTACCTATATATTTTATAAACCGTTCTTTTGGTTCTTTGTAGAACTACTTTTTTTAAACAAAACAATCTTTGCGATATACAGTTTACTTATTACAATAATATAATGATATATGATCATTAGAAACCATCGAGAAGTAGAAGTAGAGACGACATAGACACTATTTTGCGATATGATAGAAGAACGTACGCACTTCGAGTGATTAAAAAGTTTAATCAAAATGGCGACTTTGCCGTACTTTGATTTACCTATTTGAAGTCGATAATTTTATGTTTGAAGACTAACGGAATGAAAATGTTTCTGTATCATTTAAATGAAGTTATTTAAAAAAAAATGGCATATATTCTCACCAAAACTGACTAGCTCGAGTTTGACATACGACGTAAAAGTGTAATGCAAAGGTGCGGACACTTTTAGTATCATCATAGCATCTCGTTTTTATTTTATCTCAGTGTTAGAAACAATCAATTTGTAACTTAATTCAAACCTAATTGACTGCGGTTTTGAAACTTTTAAAACTAATGTGTTACTTAGACTTAGAGTATAATAAATTAATTATACTAATTCGCGTGTACCCTTTTCGTACTATGCTCTGCGTCTACACTAGTTTTTCACTGGGTTTTCACTAATTTTACACTAGCTTTCCCTAGTTTTTTCACTAGATTTTCACCTGTTTTACACTAGCTTTTTACTACGTTTTCACTAGTTTTGCACTAGTTGTCACTAGTTTTTTCTTAATTTGTCACTAGTTTTACCTAGTTTTTCACCTGTTTTACACTAGTTTTAAGTTTTCACTAATTTTTCACTAGTTTTTCATAGTTTTTCACTAGTTTTCACTAGTTTTTCACTAGTTTTTCACTAGTTTTTCACTAGTTTTTCACTAGTTTTTCACTAGTTTTTCACTAGTTTTTCACTAGTTTTTCACTAGTTTTCACTAGTTTTTCACTAGTTTTCACTAGTTTTTCACTAGTTTTTCACTAGTTTTTCACTAGTTTTTCACTAGTTTTTCACTAGTTTTTCACTAGTTTTTCACTAGTTTTTCACTAGTTTTTCACTAGTTTTTCACTAGTTTTTTTATTATTTATTCAATATTTTTTCACTAGTTCTTTAATACTTTTTCATTAGTTTTCACTAGTTTTTCACTAATTTTTCACTAATTTATCACTAATGTATCACTAATTTTTCACTAATTTATCACTAATATTTTACTAATATTTCACTAATTTATCTTTTATTTTTCACTAATTTTTCACTAATATTTCACTAATTTTTCACTAATTTCTCAATATTTTTCATTACTTTTTCACTAGTTTTCCTTGGTTTTTCGGCAGTTTTCACTAGTTTTTCACTAGTTATTCAGTAATTTTTTACTATTTTTCACTAGTTTTCACTAGGTTTCACTAGTTTTTCATTAGTTTTCACTAGTTTCTCACTAGTTTTTTCACTAGTTTTCACTAGTTTTCACTAGTTTTCACTAGTTTTCACTATTTTTCACTAGTTTTCACTAGTTTTCACTAGTTTTCACTAGTTTTCACTAGTTTTCACTAGTTTTCACTAGTTTTCACTAGTTTTCACTAGTTTTCACTAGTTTTCACTAGTTTTCACTAGTTTTCACTAGTTTTCACTAGTTTATCAATAATTTCTCAATAGTTCTTTACGAGTTTTTTTTCACATTAGATTAACTCAACCGGTCTAGTGCCGAGTCTTCTTTATTATATAAAGGTCTATAGTAATATGATGATTCTTCATTTTTTCGGTTTTGATTTGCGTTATTGTATTCTAGTCGGTTTTATATTTTTCTCTTGATTTTACGGAATGCATCCCATGGCTCTTGTAATATTGCCAAAATTGCGATTAGTTATTAAATAACTTATTAAGAACAGGTTTCGGTTATTTCCAATAAAACTTACACATTTAGTAATAAATAAGAATACGTTATACTAATAATTCGTTAAAAATTCTAGTCTTTACTAATAAATTAGCAAAATCTATTTAATCAACTAAATAAACATGATTTAAAGACCTCCTTCATGCCTTTTACAGACTTAACCAGATTATTTGAGATATACAAGTAGGTAAGCTAAACATGTTTTAAATTCCCTATCTAATGAGCATGGGAATTAATTTCCTGCATCTGCTTACGCAACTTGATTCCAAAACAAACAATATACAGGAAAATGTACTTTCCCCAGAAAAAATGCAGAGCAGACTTTGCTTTCTATTTTATTTTAACGATTTTTCTATAGTGTCTGTAATTATGTGCATTTCATTTACTGTAGGATAGTTTTCTCTGAAGCCGAGTTGATAAGAAGGAATTAGGTTGTTCTTTATTATTGGTTTGAATCTTTAAAGCAGTAACTTTTCAAATAGTTTTGATTATTAGAGGTAGTAAATAAATTGGCCTGTATAATGAAACTTCTAAGTAATCTGCCTGTTTTTGGAATCTGCTAGATTCCAGAGCTTGGATACAAAACTCAGCCTTTGAAAGTTGATTCAAAAAGTCAAAACTAAGAGCTTGTTTTTGTAGTAATGTTGTTTTTTATTGAATCCTTTGTAAAAATGTCACTTTTAATAATGCTCTG